TCTTTCTGTTAGCAGCTGAGTGTTTAACCAGTGTGCCACCAGGGCTTCTTTTAAATAACATATACCTTCATTTTTTGTCAAGATTTGGGAGGTGGTAGCCAAGGGAGCTGTTTGAGGGATCTTCAAAGAAATAGGACGTTATAGCCAGTGTATCTTCCACTTTGTCTTCCCAAACTGGACTCTCAGTAGGCAAAGGACAGTATCTTTCAACATTCTCGAGAGGTCAAGGACATAGAAGTCATCCACCAACCTACCCAATCCTCACTTTTCTCCCAGTGGTCACCACTAATCAGTCCTAAGAAGTGAGCATTTGCTAGTCTTCTGGCTCCAAGCAAACCTCCTTCAATTTCTTAGACACTCCCCTGCCTCTTTTTTATTGTGCTTTAAGTGAAAGTTTACAATTTGTTTCTCATACAAAAATTTATACACACATTGTTATGTGACCCTAGTTGCTCTCCCTATACTGTGACAACACACTCCTCCTTTCCACCCTGGATTTCCCGCGTCCATTCAACCAGCTCCTGACTCTCTCTGCCTTCTCATCTCGCCTCTGGACAGGAGCTGCCCATTTAGTCATGTATCTACTTGAGCTAAGAAGCACACTCTTCACGAGTATCATTTTATGTCCCATAGTCCAGTCTAATCTTTGAAGAGTTGGCCTCAGGAATGGTTTTAGTTTTTGGCTAACAAAAAGTCCGCGGTCCCTCCAGTCTCAGACCATCGTCTGGTCTTTTGACTAGAATTTGTGTTCTGCACCCATTTCTCCTGCTCCATCAGGGACTCTCTTGTTGTGTTCCCTGTCAGGGTGGTCACTGGTAGTAGCTGGGCACCATCTAGTTCTTCTGGTCTCAAGCTGATGGAGTCTCTGGTTTACATGGCCCTTTGTCTCTTTGACTAAATTTTCCTTGTGTATTTGGTGTTCTTCACTCTCCTTTGCTCCAGGTGGGCTGGGACAAATTGATGCATCTTAGATGGCGGCTTGCTAGCTTTTAAGATTCCAGACGCCACTCACCAAAGTGGGATGCAGAACATTTTCTTAAAAAACTTTGTCATGCTAATTGACCTAGATGTACCCTGAAACCATGGTCCCCAGAACCCTGCCCCTGCTACTCTGTCCCTTGAAGTCTTTGGTTGTATTCAGGAAACTTCTTAGCTTTTGGTTTAGTCTTAGATCCCTTTTTGTACAAGTCATGTGTCTTTCAATTTTTTATTTTTAGGAAAACAGAGTTACTGGTACAAAAGCCACTCCCTTAACTTTCTGTAAAGTTCTCTTATGATTTGGATTTTTTTAAGGTCATTTGTTGTATCTTCTTTTTAGAACACAGACTGAAAGGCCAATAAGACACATGGCTTTTAATGTATTTGGGTCAATGCCTGTCTCTTGTGTTTTCCATTATGTCTTAGGCAGAATTGTAAGTACCAATCTCATTGAGTTTCAAAAGAATGACTTTACTGGTTGTTGTCCTCAGTTTTTTTTTAGATCTAACATTTTGTTACTTTAGGAAAATTGCATCCTGTCTTCTCTTTGAACTGAGTGTGACATCTAATCTACACAATCCATTGTTTGCTCAAACATGTCTACACAGTAAAAATGGGCTTCCACCACAGGTCTGTAATTTTTGTGGCAATCTATGTATCTTAAATTTATTATAGTTCCCCTCAAAGAAAGTTTTTATAAATTTGATCTTTTTGATGTAAGACAAAGTCTACTGACTCACTGACTCGTGTATCAAAAAGTAAAAGTTGAATGATATAAAAAATACTTTTTTGAGGGTAACTTTTTTTCTCAGACCGGAGATTATGACCTTGACCCAAAAGTCAGTCGCAGTCAGAATCTGGATGTTGACTGGTGAGGGAGGGGTAAAGATGAGCAAGTTGTAAGGGTCAAGTGAATTTATACATAGTTTGAGAACTTGGTATTATTTTTCCATGAGATTGTTCCAAGTTCTGTATATCATAAATTTGAAATTTCGCTATCTACCAAGAGGCATTCCTAAAATGGGACCAGATACTTCAAAATGTAATGTGTCTGATACAATGTGTCCAATTTATACTCTTGGAGAGCGGCCCACCTGTATCTGTAAAACTGGCGTGGCTTCAGAGGTCCTCTAACTTCATGATGGGGGAGGATAATCAAGATCAGCATCAGCCCAAAGCTGATTCCTGTGAGGTGGAGGTCAGACATACCTCCACTCTCCAACCTTTTTACCAATTCTGACAGCAGCTGTTGCTCTTAGGGTACTCTCTACTTCTCTACTGGGTTCAATAATTCATTGTAATGACCACACAGAACTCAGACCATACTCACAGTTATGGTGTTTATTAGGGAAGTAACAGGTTACAATTCAGGATCAGGATTAACCTGGAAGTAACAGGAACAACGCAGGATACAGTTATTTGATCAGGACAGCTACTTCTCAGCCATGCCCACAGGCAGGACTCTCTCAGCCCTCGGCCCTCAGCCCCAGTTCTGGGCCTGGCCTCTGCCCTGCTCAGGCCAAGTGTTACAAAGCTCTTTAGCTCTGTCAGTAAGTGCCCAGAGGCATCCCACTCCACCAGGAATCCTCCTGCCCAAAGGCACTCAGCTCTTGTGCTCCGTGTGTCAGTGAGCGTAGCATGTGGGCCCCATGCTGCTGCTGTCTCATGCCATCTTCAGTGTCACAGTTCTGGTTCCTGGGGTCTCAGAAGTTCTCAGCGCAGGGACCCTGGGTCTAAAGGTCGTACTCTGCTCCTGGGTTTTTCTTGATGGTAGTGAGGTCCCCCTTCAACCTCTGGGATTGGCTCCCTTTAAGCCTAGCCTAGTGGGATGGCAAAACTGACCAATCCCCTACAAGGGTTCCGTGCATCTTATTTGCATGGTCCCACCCCTGCAAGGGTTCCCTGCACCTTATTTGCAATAGCAAAACTGTCCAACTCCCTTGGTGCGCCACAAGCACTTATTTGTCTAGTCCCACCCAATCATTTTGTAAGAGTTACAAGTCCATGGCTAGAAAGGCCATATAAAATTAATTCACTGCACCACAGTATCATAGAAAAAGGATATTCCATTAGGCAATACTAGAAAGACAAACTCTTGGTCCTTTCTGGAGTGAGCACTGCTGGAGTCAAGAGCCCTGGGATCTAGCCTTGGCCTGGCAGCCATTTTTACATCTTCTCTCTTGGACCCATACCCCGTCTTACTTCCATATTTTGTAAATACACTTGGATTGTCTCTTTCCTTTCCAAGATGAAATTCCTTAAGGAAATGATGTCTTTATCTTTTTAGCTCTACAACGTTCCCAGAATTTGGTACTGAGTAGGTAATTCAATCAATGAATGAAGTGAGTGTATAATTCTGGGATTCCTACAAACACTATTCCTATTTTAAACTATTCAAAAATAACTGAATGGGATCAGAAAACTAGAGAACCCAGCAAAACAGGCTCTAAGAGGCATTAGTAATTATTAACATGTTTGCTAGAAAGTAAGTGGCCTGAGGTAGCTCTTCAAAATAGGGAAAACAGTTCCCCTTTCTCCTTTCTCTCTTGATTAGCCAAAGTATACATACTCAGCAGCAGTAAAGCTCATCCCATGTAACAGATCAGAATTATAAAAGGCAAACTGGTGGAGGGCTGAATGTGAGATTCTTTTTTTTTGCAATTCGTGGGTATCAGAGTTTAATTCATAAAAGTATAGGTGTAAAATTTTCTGACATCATTATGCTTCAAAAAATAAAAATGACCACATTTTATAGCATGGATAATTTTTGTGTCAGTTCAGGCCCTCTGAGATGCAGATACCAAGACAGGATTAGACAACCAAAAGACTTTTTAGGGAAAATGCTTGTGAAGGATAAAAGAGAGGAAGCAGTAGTAGGTAGGGAGAGCCGTCAGACCACAGTGTAGGTCTGAGGCCAGTGAAAGGTAAGGGGGAAAGAAGGAAGACAGGGCAGAGGTTTCAGATACAGCATAATTTTAAGTAAGTTCTGGGCAAGCTGAGGGGGCGTCCTCAAGCTAAAGTCGTCCCTCAGAGAAGTTCCGCTTCCTGCAGAACAGGTCTGCACTAGTAACCCCACTGTGCTCACTCAGTGGGTAGAAGCAGCCCAGGGGAAATGTGGCCTCAGCTCAAACACTGTAGAAGACCCAGAGAGCTGGGACTGTCCTTCAACTATACACCTGCAGCAGGAGATCTGAGCAGTGTTTTACAGCCACCAGAGTTTTCAGCTAAGTGATTTCAAAAACATAACGGGCACTAATTACGAAAACAGTATATGCTCTGCCTGCTCAAACTACATGGTTATGAAGACATAGAGGTAGTCTGCTTCAGATCTTCTAAATCAGTTTCTCATACTTGCAGACCTCATTTTCCTTTTTGATGAATGAATGTGAAGTTTTAATGCATAGTTAAAGAGTGATGAGTAGGACCCATGGGCTTAAAAAGGGAAAAAAGTGTTTTTAGGTTTTAACGAGAAATATTTTCAACTATTCTGATTTAGATAAGGCTATTCAGACCTTTTTATAAAATGAATGAAAAGATCAGGCAAATCAAAAGTGGCAATGCTAGATATGTGATAGTTGCTTATGAGTTCAACTTGGGACATTCTTCTTCTTCCAAAAAAACAAAAAATTCTGTCATTTCAAAAAACAAACATTCCAGCCTATCACCAAAAAGAAACCATTCACTTACATTTGAAAAGTATGTTAGTACCTGGCAACTTCTTTCTGTACTTGCTGTAAAATCCCTACCTTTTGCTGAGAACATTCAGCCACTGCTTGAGATGCGAAATGCAGTTGAGATTAGAACTGGCGTTATCAGAATAGTTATTCCTTTGACGTGATCACTGAACTGAGAAGAGGTGAAGCAGAAAGCAGTGTTTGTCAGGTTCAGAGGAAAAAGGCAGAAAAGCCCAGAGGCTTGGTCTTTTGTTGTTTGCTTAAGTGCAAGGATTTATTAGAAGAGGTCAAAAGATTTTTTTAAAAAGGGGTTCCTTTTGTTGTATTTTCCAATAATAGAGAAATAGCTTTTTTTTTTTTTTTTTTTGCTACTCACAAATGCTTTATTTTTTACTTTGTACAAAATACAAAAAAGCAAATCCGAAGAGGACAGACTAGTGACAGCACCGTGTACAACAGCAAACCTTGTCTAGCAAGACATTAGTGTTTTAAACTTTTAGTGAATATATGCAAATATAAAACAACAACAATGACAACAAAAACACACAAAGAGGTGAGAGATTTAGCGATTTCTACCCTCAAAATAATGTTTACCATCAAGACTTCGGATGGGATAAAAAAAAAAAATTAAAAAAGTAAATAATTTTCCATAAAAAAGTCAATGCTACCATAAAATGTCCTTTCCCCCCACCCCGTCACACTGATTAAATTTCTTCTGAAAAGCCACACATAAAAACAAAACAAAACAAAAATCCTGAACTGGACAGTCAATATTCAAGAGGGCTGTTAACCTACGAAATCGTTCAGTAGTTTAAAGAATCTTTGAGACATTGTGAAGCCTTTCTATTCATTTCTCAGTACAGTGTTCCAGCCATCCTGGCCTTCTTTCCTTTTAAAACATATTTCAGAACAGAAATGTCTCTGTCACCCAGTCTCTGTTCCTAAGAACTAGTTTTGAAAAACGAAGCAATGTACAAAAATATTTAACAGAACTATGAAAGATGTAGGAAAGGAGTCTTTTCTTCAAAGCAAAGTAGTATTTGCTTTGTATGGTTTTTTTCTTACACTCTTCAGGGTTTGTTTATCTGCCCCATGAATAAGATAGCACCTACAGAATTGAAAAGAAACAACGCATAACTATAAGAGCATAATCCTTAAAATAAGATGAAAAGTATTATATTTAAGGGGAGCCCCCCTCCCCCAACCATGTTTAACCTACTGCTCTCTAGCAGTGCTGTCCAATAGAACTTTCTGCAGTGATGGAAATGGTCCGTATTATCTGTGCTGTCCAATTTGGCAGCCACTAGCCACATGTGAAAAGGAACCCTGGTGGCACAGTGGTTAAAGCACTCGGACGCAAACTGAAAGGTCAGTGGTTTGAACCCACCTGCCTTTCTGTGGGAGAGAGATGTGGCAGTCTGCTTCCATAAAGATTTCAGCTTTGGAAACCCTATAGGGTAGTTCTACTCTGTCCTATAGGGTCGCTGTGAGTTGGAATTGACTTGATGGCAATGAGTTTGGTTTTGGTTGTTTTTAGTCACATGTGAAGGAGCCCCGGTGGTACAATGGTTAAATACTCGGCTACAAAATGAAAGACTGGTGGTTCAAACCTACCCAGCCACAACTCTGTAGAAAGACCTGGCGATCTGCTTCTGTAATAATTACAGCCTACAAAACCCTATGGGGTAGCTCTATCTTGTCACATGAGGTTACTATGAGTTGAAAACAACTCGATGGCACTCAACAACAGCAAAGTCAAATGTGCCTACTGAGTTCTTCAAATGCGGCTAGTATGACTGAGAAACTGAATTTTTAATTATATTGCATTGTAATTAATTAAAATTTAAGGTTAAATAGTCACATGTGACTAGAGGCTTCTGTGTTGGGCTTTTCAGCTCTGGAGCACACCATTTAATTATGAAACTAAAGACACAATGAGATAAAAGGATAAGAACTATCTTATGATAAAAAAAAATAGTAAAAGCTAAAATGCATTTTGTACCAACATGAAGCCAACCTCTCTACTAGGATAGTCTTGGTTATTCTTCATTGTACTAGGAGGTAGAATTATTGTTATCCTTACAGATGAAGCTGAGAGATAGCCAAGTTTGAACCCATGACTCATAGAGCCAAGATCTACTGAATGAATAATTCCTAGGTCAAGGCAATAGAGTGGGCTTACATATGTTGACGACATACAGCTTCGTGTAGAGTTTAACCATTGCGTTTATAAAAAGTATGGAAAAGAAAGTGCCCCAAAGGGCTGCTGCAACTCTACATATGTTAACAACAACAAAAAACCCAAAACCTAAAATCCTATCAGTGTTTAAAAGATTCCATGACAGTCTGGACACAGCCCTGATTTTTCCATCTCTTCAAGATGGGTGATTTTCAAAAATATCCTGTGAAGTCTTCCTAAAACCAAACAATACTTTAGCTTAACTAGTAAAAAATGTCTGCCTTGAGCATTTAGCTCTTTTAAGAATTATCTATATGGGATCAAAGGAACAACAGCAACTTGATAGATAGGAACCTTAGGGGGCAGTGAGTTTATGCTAATGAGGAGTAACTCAGAAGAGGAGGATCAAAGTGTTGCACAACCCAAAGAATGTAATCTATGTCACTGAATGGTATATGTAGAAACAATTGAATTGGTTTGTTTTGCTGTGTATATTCTTAACAACAACAACAAAGAAGGGTGGTTATATTATTCAGTTGCAATTGTGGACACAGGGAAAAGGATTAAGACCAATGCTATTGGATAGAACTCCGATTGCCATATACTTTTCTGAATTCTAACAATTAGTAAAGATGGAAGAGGGGAATCACTTACCTGTAGGACTATGTCGGATGAAAAACAGAAAAGGCCTATCTACTATAAACCAAGGCGGCGACGACCTTGCGATCAGAATGGCACCTGTGGGAAGAAAGGAAAGTGCATTACACGCACAGCATGATCCAGCATGCGGCTCGCTAGATGATCCTCAAATGCTGAAGTTTGAGGACACAGTAAATCCCTGCCCTGTAGATAAGCTGTGTTACAACAAGCTCAGTGGTCACCACCACAGGCCAGGCCCTTCTCATTTACTGTCTCATTTATTCTACACAAGCACTATCTTTGTTAATAGAGGTATCTACTCTTCATAAGATTTTTTGAGGATTAAATGTCATAAACCATGTCACGGCTCTTAGAACAGTGTTTGCCACACAATAAACACCCAATGCATATTCACCACTATTATTAGTTGTTGTTTATTCACACCATTTGTCTTGCTGTTGAAGGCTGCTGGTGTTTTTAGCCTACCCAAAGCCTTCCCGTATATAAAGACCCAACTTAATTTGCAACTTATCAGTGCCTTCTACTTTGGCTATCCCAGGACCTCATCTAGCTTTCTTGTGCAGTGGCAATGGATATTATTCATCTGGGACCTAGTACCTTATATTTTTGTTCAACTCATCAGGTGTAGATACCTGACCCAAAAAGAAAACTTCTTCAGGCTCCTGGGTCTCAGATATGCCTACTCTGTCATGTTTACTGATGGTGACCTCCATTTAACAAGCCTGTGATAGTGATAGTCCCTGGGTGGTACAAATGGTTAACGTGCTCAGCTGCTAACTTAGAGGTTGTTGGTTTGAGTCCACCCAGAGGCACCTTGGAAGAAGGCTGGTGATATACTTGCGAAAAATCAGCCACTGGAAACCCTACAGAGCACAGGTTGCCGTGAATCGGGGTTGACTCGCTGGCAAGTGGAAAAGAAGGGAAGGTTTTGCAGCAGGGTAGGTATATGATGTGACCAACCCTGTGTAACTACTGTATGCCTGCTGAAACAGCCCCCCAGAAAGTATTGATGACATGGTCTTGATGTTACAAAGGAAACATGCAGCTATGCCAGGGTAAGCTATTCGACCCAAGGTTATTAACAACAAATCAATAGTGAGCAAGGCTGGCTTCATGGGCACGCGACCTGGACATTGGCACAGGGCCCCATACTCATGGGGGCCACCCACTTGGTTTAGTGCTCTGCTATTGCTGTCTTGAAATTCCTAGTAAGTTTTGGAAAAGGGATTCTGCATTTTCATTTTGCACTGAGCCCTGAGTATTATATAGATGGTCCTAACAGTTCCACTAGTTGGCAAAATTGGTCGCTAACTTTAGGCAAAATTTAGATGTTGCTTATATCTGCCTAAAAAAGCGAGAAGCCATCTTAAATGGCCAAGCCCTCTTGTTCTGTGTCTTTGTTTTAGATGTTGTTTTAAAGGAATAAAAAGTAAATGCTTATTCAAGAAAGGTAATTAAGTATCTTTCATTGAATATAAATGGTACCTTTTAATAATCAGAAATAATTCAACCCAGCTGCAAGTGTGGCTAACACAGATGCTTTATGAGCTCATGGAATAGTCAAATCTATTCATCCCATCTCATATGGATAATTAGAGGGGGAAGAAAAACAACTTAAGATTGTTCTATTATCTTTTTTCATTGAGGAAGAAGCAGATGTGGATGTTCTAATTATCTAGCAAGGCAGCTAGCAGTCCTGCTTCAGTTCAATACATGCTTGCTAATGCTTCACTTTGTCCCATAGAATAATATTACTCTATTAGCCTCCAAGTACTTGCTATTATTTTCTGCTTCAATCTGAAGATTGGTCTTTTCTACCAACAGAAGGCAAAATGTGCTTTATCCTCCTAGGGCAGGGATCAGCGAACCACTGCTCCTGCACCAAACCCGCGGGACCAAATGCTGTTTTTGTAAATAAAATTTTATTGGAACATAGCCGCACCCATTCATCTCTATTGTTGATGGTTGTTTTCATGCTACAGTGACAGAGTTGAGCATTTATGACACAGACCTTATGGTCTGCAAAGCTGAAATGATGGACTTACCATCTGGGTCTTTAGAGAAAACTTTTGCTGATTCCTGTCCTCAAGGAAGTGCTTTTCCTTAACGAAACAGAATCTGAGCTCCATGGGTGCAGGTCCTGATCTATATTCACCACTGTGGCCCAAGGGGCAACTCACAGTGCCTGCCTGAAATAGGGATCACTACCTATTTCCCTGGGTGGCACAAATGGTTAAGTGCTTGACTACTAGTTAAAAGGCTGGCAGTTTGAACCTGCCCAGAGGTGCTCCAGAAGACAGTCCTGGCAATCTGCTTCTGAAAAGTCAGAGCCTTGAAGACCCTAAGGAGCAGTTCTACTCTGCCCACATGGGGTCTCCCTGAGTTGGAATCGACTTGATGGCAAGTGACAACAACAACCTATTTGGTGACTCGACGAAGGAGCAGGAACGCTTTTGCTTGCCCACCCTGGAGCCTGTCCCGCCACAGGACCCTGTGCTTACTTGTTGCTGCTGAAGCTTTGGTTCCATCTTCACTGACTTCAATTTTTGCTTTTTGCAAGATGTGAGAAACATGAAGGTTTTCTGACCCTGTTTCCAGAAAATAAATAAAAAACAGTATTTGAAATGCAAGCCGTCCCTTCAGTTGGGGGAGTAACCTCCAAGCCATCCAAATTCCAATTCTTAGAAGGCATCAGGAGTGACCTCTTTCAATCTTGGTGACTGATGGCTGTAGGATGATTGTCACCTGTGGTTAATTTCCGTTTCTGCTAAGTGAACTGTGATACTTTGGGGTAGAGTCCCAGGCCCCAGCTGTTTTAGTGTCTCTATCAATTCAACTCTGATCACTAAGAATTTTATAAAAAAAGTGAAAAGAGCAGAACTTTAAAGAGGAATCCCAGTCATCCAGAAGAAAGCCAGCAATACCGTTTTCAATTGCAAATGCCCCAGAAAAGATTGCTGAAAAACCAAAAACCACACCCGGTGCTGTCGACTTGATTCCGACCCATAGCAACCCCACAGGACAGAGCAGAACTGACCCATAGGGTTTCTAAGGAGTGCCTGGTGGATTCAAACTGCCAACCTTTTGGTTAGTAGCCGAACTCTTAACCACTACGCCACCAGGATTTCCAAAAAGATTGCAGACAGCATTTATAGATGGGGAAACTGAAGCCCAGAGTGTTAAGAAATTTGCTCAAAAATCACACAGCCAGTTAGTGACAGAGTAAGTACTGGCTTTTCACACCAGAAGCTGCTCTTCTCAGGGGCATGTTAGAGACAGAATAGCATCAAGTATGAGAAGTGTCTAGACTCTTGTGGAGGACCAGACTCAAATGCAGCTGTGTCTCAGGAACATTCTAGTGAACTCACTTCTCTAATCAGCAAATCCTCACCAAACCAGCAATACCCACTGGGTGTAGCTTCCAAGGAGAATCTGAACTGAAGTTAATGTTAGCCCTGACGGGACACAGGTTTGGATGCATAGGGGAAAAAGTTCTTTTCGTGCCATCTGGTTTTTAATTGTCCCCAGTGATGCCTAGCTCTAATATGACTGATTGTGACTAAGATACATGTTTATGGACTCCAAGTCACTGGGTTTCTCAGTGCTTCACAGAAGAATGTGGGGGCCAGGAAAGGCTACAAACAATAACCTCAAAGGGGATATTACCCACTAAAACAGAGCTTCTCAAGCCTTATTGGGCTGAGGAATCTTGTTAAAACGAAGATTCTAATTCAGTAGGTCTGAGTCAGACCCAAGCACAAGCATTTCAAACAAGTTTCCAGATGATGACAGTGCTGCTGGACAGAGGATCAGAGACTGAGGAGCAAGAGCTTTAAGGGTATCAAGAATATCCATGGATCTAAGATTCTGTAGAAGAATCCTGATCAAGGCAGAAAAAATGGAACAGAATTACACATTCTCAATGGAATTCAGACTCTCTGGAGCCACTGAGGCTGGATGAATAGCCAAAACTATTGCCCTGAGATAATCTTTAAACCTTAAACCTCAAACCAAAACTCTTCCTGGAAGTCTGCTTTGATCCAAACAACAGTTTAGTCTAATTAGTAAAGTATGTCTGCCTTGAGTATTGTGCTGTCTCAAATATTTATCTATACAAGATCAAATTGACAACAGCATCTCAAAAGGTTAGATAAGAAGCTTAGGGGGCAATGAATTTACGTTAATGGTGGTGGAATAATTTGGAAAAGGATAGAGAGAATGGTTATACAATTTGAATGTAAACAATGTCACTGAATTGTATATGTAGACTTTGTTGAAACAGTGTATCATTTTCCATGTATATTTTCACAAAAAAAAAAAAATCACAGACAGGAAAAACAAAAAAAATCCACGGACCTGCAAATTCACCAGAGGAGTTGTGCTTGTCCCAAAACAGATATATACAGGTATTCACTAATAGGCAGTTAAGGTTGTTAATGACTAATTTCTCATTATTCAAGGGAAAAAAATATAAAATGGAGTACAAATAATGTTTCACTGTGTCCCTTTTATGGGAAGAGGTTGCTAAGTTCTAAATTTAAAAGATAAGAACTGACCTTTCAAACATAACTCTAGAAAAAGATAAGTATATTGGCAAATGAAGGGATATACTACCAGCTATGTTCTACTTGCTTTGGCAAGGAAGAGCTCTAATCAGACTCATCTGAATTTACATTATTTCAGATTAACTGACATGGAAATGCCAAAACATGTATCTGGATAGGGTACATGCCTGATGTTGCCGTGTAGAAGCAAGCAGGCATCTGAGAGCTCAAAAGTCTTGATTTTTCAAACACAGGGAAGATGTTTTCATTAGGGGAAAAAAAAGAGCCCAATCTCCAACTAAGAGTCAATTTTTAGGTAATAGAGACCATATGTGAAATATTTCACCGTGTAGGTCACTTGGGTTTCACATGAAATGTACATGTGAAGTGTAAGGATGAATGAGTTACACTCATTTAAATAACCAAGGATCAACAGTATCATTTGGCAATCTATCAAATTAAACCTTGGACAGCTTGAGGACAACACATTCCTAATCCTAATTTTTTCTCTCTGAACACATCAGAGGCTCAGTTTCTAACATTTTCAAGTTTAAGAATAAGTTTTAAATTGAACGTACTTGTTATTTTTGAAAAATTTGCTTTTAATGGATCAAACATCTCGGTAATGCCAAAAGCTTTCAGCGGGTCCTTCAAATCTGTTTCTGCTACAGCTGTAAACCTAGCAAGAAAGCAGAAAATATACACTATAAATGATGGATAGTGATATAATCAGTGCTGCTGGAAACATATTTCCAAAATCAAATTTTTTACAGTATGATCCGAACACCAATCTAAATTACACCTTAAATTTTAATCCCAAGATTAAACTACCATGTAAATAGAGAACACCCCATCTCTCAAACACTTAGTGGGCAAAATAAGCAGTCCCTACCAACAGCAAGTGGGAGTGCGCTCACTCACATGTACAATGGGTTCCCTTCCAATGCTTAGGAAGATCTACAAAAGCGCCTTCTCTTATGCTAATATGGAGGTACAGGCAGGGTGTTAACAAGTACCCAGTATTGTGGAATATCTATTTTTCTTACCCATATTCAACCAAAAAACCATTCATCTTGGCTGCAGTAAGAACCACCATCCTTACTGGAATTGGGTGGTCAAAAGAGGCAACACATTCCTACTAGTTCATGTTGAGATTCTTCTGAAAGCATTTTACGGTTAAAATGAGGGCAAGCATCCAGAAGAGGTGAAGTGGTTATTATATGTGGGTATAATATGGTCTTCTTGGGTATTTGTGGACTGCCTGGCCTGGTGGTGGTCTAACCACAGTTGATCGTGGTTTTAAACATTTAAGTATGTCAGTTATTAAACCTATCAGAAGATATTTTATCAGATTTTACTTCATCCTATGGGAGAGCAACAAGGAGGTGAGCAGATTCTCATCACAGATGGGCTATAAGGGCAACTTGCCTGTTCCTCACCCACCAGGGCCAACGATACCGCTATGTTGTTCATTTATATTGGTACTTACTTGGGCAGGACCACCTGTACCCTCTTGGTCACCATGATGCTCATCCAACTGTCTATGGTCTTGGTGTTGATGTAGGGGATGATGGCCGACAGGGGTGTGGAGCTCTCGGTCGGCAGTGCAATGAACATGCTGATGCTGTCCCCATGGTAGGGCAGCTCAATGAAGTTGTACCACAGGCCATTGGGAGTGCTTGTGGACCCTAAAGAAATCAGAGGCAGGGTCAGTGTGTCCTTGGTGTCTTCCAGAAGTGGCATGAGTAGTTGCTGGTCACCAGAGAGCTTCAGGGGGAAGAGGGCAATTCAGTTTGAGAACCTGCCTTTTCCAAAAATAGCTTCCTTAGAAGGACAAAGATAAAAACAATTTTTCCTCCCCTGGTGAAGAACTGTATTTCTTCAGTCTAGATGTATCTTGGAGCCCTGGTGCAGTGGTTAAGAGCTTGGCTGCTAACCAAAAACGTCGGCAGTTTGAATTCACCTGCTGCTCCTTGGAAACCCTATGGGGCTGTTCTACTCTGTATTACAGGTCGCTATGAGTCAGAATCCACTAGACAGCAATGGATTTTTTTAGACGTATCTTAACAGTATGCCTTTGGGCATCAGTAGAATCAAATTAATTCTGTTGAGTAGAATTTACCTAGTTTATAAGGCTCATATCTTCTGTTAGGATCATTCCCTTGGAGGCTTTGTGTGTGTGCGTGATGAAAAGGGAGGGGAAAGAGGCTTATAACATTGTCTAGGGACCACTCTGTGCCAGGCCCAAACCAACTTCTTCAACACATTTAGAGTCCACAGCACCCCATGAGGTAGGTACCAGCCCCGTTTTACAGATGGGGAGGCTACAACATATACAAATTAAGTAACTTGCTGAGGGACAAATGGCTAAGAAGTAGCAGAGCCAGGACTTGAACTCAGGTATGTCTAATGTCGAATACTGTCTTCTTACTTCACTATCCCAACTCCATACTCTTTACCCATTCTAGTACCTATAATTAGGACTCTGGATACTTTGTAGTACTTCTGCTTACTAAGGAAAAACCAAGAATGATTTAAACCAGCATTTCTCAAAAGGCTGCCTAGAGAACACTCAACCTGTAAGATGTTCTATAGACAAAAAGGATTCCATATCTTAGGAGGTTTAGAAAACATTGGATACTCAATTCATCTTGAAGATCTCTAATATATATCAGTACTGTAAAGGCTCTCAGACACTGTGAAGTAAAAAATAAAATCATGTCACTTGTTTTTTGTTGTTGGTTGTATCAATTCTGACTCGTATCGACCCCATGTAGTTATGCCCATGTTTCCCAAACTAATTTGGCATTAGAACATTTTTATTCCATGTAAAAAATCTCTTCAAGGACGGTACTCAAAATATTTAATAACTGAGAAGCCCGAGTAGTGACCTACTATGGTGGACGGACGCTCAGGCGGAAGAGCGTCAGCGAGAAGGCCCTCTCAGGGCCCAGGAGCCTAGAGAGGCTACTAATACCCTGAGGAACGAGCTTTCCACAGAGCACACATTAGGAGCCTGTGAACACCTTACATCAGGAACCTAATGCAAGGAGTTATAAAAATTAGTAGTGGAAAATCAGCATGATTTTATGGTGGACTTCTGAAATGTTTTATTAAATACTTTATGACCTTGGTGAAGTTACTTTACCTCTTGGTGTCTCCCTGTATGTAGAATGTAGATAGCAAGGATAGTAAAAGCGTGTACCTCATAGAGTTGCTATGTGCTTAAATGAGAAAAAATATACACAGTACTTAGAATAGTGCCTGGCCCATGGTGGGCACCCAATAAAGGTTGATCCCCCCACCTCCTCTTCCTTATCTTCCTCTAAATGACCCAGAAGGGCAACATGTTTAAGAACAAGAAAAGAGAGTTTATTTCATGATTGCCATTGGTCTTTTCTCCAGGGATGACTTTTGCCAATTACTTCCTTTGAAACAGAGACCTTCAATGAGCTAAGTTCTCCACAGAGTGGGGAGGGAGAGAAAAAGAGCAAGGGACAGAAAGAGACAGACCTTTCTTTGTCTTTGTTATATAACAAATACTTCTAGCTGTAAGATATGATTAAAATAGTGCATCTATTAGAATATATGACACTGCAGAATGGCATTACAGTTTCTTCTAAAGGAAGAAGTACGTTGGCAATTTGTGGGGTTGCTCAGCGTGTTCTATTCCCCGCCCCAATGCCTTTGCCTACAGGGCTGGTCAGTAGCCCCGTATGGCTTGCCTCAGCTGGAGATACCCCTGAACTCTTGTTTACCCTGGGTTCTATCCTGGAGCTACCTAAGAATCAAAGATAGGATGTTCCATCTTTACTTTAACCCTGTATAACGAAATGGCCTTGGCAGAAACTGAAAAATCAATGGGAAAGTGAGAAAAAAATCGTTTACTAATGAGCCTTTTGCTCCATGTGACAAAGACTGGCGATCTGCTCCTGTAAAGATTACAGTCTAGGAAACCCTATGGGGAAGTTCTACTCTGTCACATGGGGTCACTATGTGTTGGAATCGACTCAATGGCACCCAACAAGTCCTCAAAGAAAACATTAAGTCCCCAGTCTGCCAGAGCTAATTTTTAGAAATTTGGAGTTCTGGGAAGTAGTTAATAAATGACTGCTCTAGGGCATGAAATAAGAACCTGGAGGCATTTAGCCACTTCTAGAAATGTTTCCTGTCCTGACAATAAGGATCAGGGTTATGAATTACCAACCGGGTGTGTACGAGGATAGGAGACAGCTTCTACTTGCACCAGTTAACCCATTCTCATGTAGACATGTCACTTGCTGAAAAAATTAATAATAACCACTAACAATTTTGCATCCAGGCACTCACATGTGCTTGGTGAATGATATCTCCCTGGCCTCATTTCTGCTTCTGATCATGTGAGCTGATCACCAAAGTTGCCGGGACCCATCCATGCATACTCCTTACAGGTCCATCTCCCCTTGACGGCTCGAGGAGGTGGGAGAGGAAGTAACACCTTTCCTCTCCCACCACCTGGCCACCAAAGAACTGCTTTCACAGCATCTTTTTAAAAAGCGTACGTGCTGAGGTTAAGGACATGAGACTGGATTCAAATCCTGGCTCTGGGGCACACTAACTCTGGAGCTTGGCCAGTTCCTTACCTTCAAGTCTTAGTTACTTTATCTCTAAAATGGGGTAATGATAGGACCTACCTTACAGAGTTGTTGCAAAAATTAAATAATACATGCAAAGGGCACAGCACAGAATCTGGCACATAGCAGAAATTTATATCGACAATGCAAGAAGCTTTGTGGAAAGCTTCAATTCTTGAATGGTCCATCACTGCTCAGAGTCTAAACCCAGAAGTGATCCACCCAGAGAAACCACGCCTGCTGCAGTGGAGCATGACAGCTCCTGGGCAGGAAGTCAGGAAAGGAAAGGGCGTCTGGGGGCCTCTCTCTCATTGTCCCAGTCTGCTTCCCTTTAAAATGACCTGCCCCCGGCTCCCTATTCTTTAACACATGGAAAGTAGACTGAGTCTTCTTTAACGGGGATAATTTCTCTTGCGTATAAAAATGTGAAGCAGGACCATTCATTCTGAAAAGAAGGGAAGAGATAGAAGGGGAAAAGAACTTTTCTCTGAAGTGAATGGTGTTCAACAAACTTCTCATGAGGAATAGTAAGTGAAGGATCAAGCATGAAAAATACAGAGAAGATGTAGAACTTTCTGTACATGGTGTTTTTGGTATGGCCCAGTGTTTCTGGTATGCCCCTGGAAGCACCCTGGCTCCCACTTTACGTCTTACAAAGGAGGAAGTCAGGAGCTCTCTTGAAATGTTAAGCACTCTTCCCAGCTTGTAGGAGCAGAGAGAATGTTTTAAATACTTAATATCAAGAAAGCTTTATAGATGAAAGTCCCTCTAATTACCTTCTACTACAAAGAGCTTTATGGATTTCATCAGCTTTTAGGGAGCTGCTCAGAATATATATATACTTCACTGGAAATGGAAATAATAAAAAACAACAACAACAAATAGATGCCATTGCAGGAAGCCATCTATATTCTAGGCTGGAGTGCAAAGCGGGAGTTGATGGGGAAGGAGGTATGGCCTAAGCAACTGGGCAAATACTGGTGTCATCTGCTGAGTTATGAGACACTAAGGGGAGAACTAGGTGGGAGACAGCAATAATATATTGAGCCTATGGAACTAGAAGTTGTCCTGGTGGCACAATGGTTAAGTGCTCAGCTGCTAATGAAAGGTTGGTAGTTCAAACTCATCAGCCAGTTCACAGCTGCTAACAAAAGGTTGGTAGTTCGAACTCATCAGCCAATTCACAGTAGAAACATGTGGCAGTCCGCTTCCATAAAGATTACAGCCTTGGAAACCCTATGGAACAGTTCTACTCTGTCCTATAAGGTTGCTATGAGTCGGAATCAATTTAGTGGCAATGGGTTGGGACGGAACTAGAACTTAATAGGCAACCAAGTAGAGAAGCAATATGGGTAGACAGGTATGAGGTAGGAGGCTCAGAGGAGAGATGTGAGCTGAAAATATAAATTTGGGAATTCTTTGTGAATTCTTTATTTTCAAAATAAAACAAGTCTCTAATGTCTAATTTCATGACCATAAAAAAAAATTCGTAACAACTTTGGCTCAGCAATTTCTACTCAAGGAAACTACGTTTAGAACTATTGACACAAGTATCTAAAGATTTATGTACAAGAATGTGCATGCCAGCATTGTCCAAGGAAAAAAGTAAACGGCCATCCATAGGATATTATGGTATATTTATACCACAGAATAAGATTTAACTTGATAAAAGGATCAAGTAGATCCACATGAATTGACACAGAAAGGCCTGCATGACATACTGTCTAATGAATAAAGACATTATAGAATAGAAATCACAGTGTAGTCCTATGTAGGTAAAGTTTCACATATATTTATATATCATGGAAAAGGTCCCAAGCCTAGAACGTAATGAAACCAAACCAAACCAAATCCATTGCCATCGAGTTAATTCTGACTCATAGAGACCCTATAGGGTAGTGTAGAACCGCCCTATAGGGTTTTCAAGACTGTAAGTCTTTATAGACTCAGACTGCCACATCTTCAGATGTGGAGAGAACCATCAGCAGGTCTCAAGGGTTCCCACTTCCCTCAAAACAAGAGCCACGAGAGGGTTTTGTCAATCTTTGTAATGTTTGCTAATCTGGTTAAGTGAAAAAGAAATCTCATTTTTATTTTTAATTTGGTGATGTAAGATTGCGAATGAGTTGAAAATGCTTTCATAGGTTTAATGCCCATTTACATTTCTTGTTTTGTGAATTGTCCTTTTCATCTTTAAATTGTCAACCTAAAAGCCTATATGTGTTAAGTATTAATATATAACCTTTGTATATAATACAAAGACTTAACAGAATTATTTTTAAAAACCTCAATTTCCCCTCTCCCTGCCTTCTATTTTTTTTTAAAAAGTCAGCTTTCCTCCAGGAGTTGAGCTAAAGCAGTTGACCGTCTTTCTGCTGCCAACATGTTTGAGAACCAGGCCTCCCCAAGCACAGACTTACCACACAGGAACACAGAAAGCTGGGCTAGCATCGCCACTGGATAGGATGTCCCATTAGAGGCCACAAACAGCCGTTTCTTTGTATTCTCAGGTTGAAACCGTGATTTCCATAAACCCTTAAAATAGATGGCATTGACGAGGACCAGCCTGGTGAGTTGGCCACGGATGTGATCAGGGGAGAGGATATCATCGATCATACCTGTGAGGTCAAGAATAAGAAAACCTCAGTACTGGCAGCTGATCTGAGGGCAAAAGGCATCTGCTGGTCATGTAAAATGAAAAGTCAAAGGGAGGGGTATGAGAGATCCGAAAAAGAAGACTTTTTTAAAAAAACAAAAATAAAAACACCTTTTATATTTTCTAATTTTTTTTCTTCCTGCTAAAAAATAAAGTTGAAAAGAGGTTAAAAACCTGAAAATTGGAAAAAGACTTTAGCAATCCTCTATTCAGGGGTTCCTAAACTTCTCATCAAGAAATTCTTCTATAGCTAATTCCCTATAAGCCCCATGTTTCAGAAAATGTATTCATTGAAATAAGTGATAATAATTGTTCTTGTCAGATGCAGTCAAGTCAGTTCCGACTCATGCTGTTAAGTGTTGTCGAATCAGTCCCGACTCATAGCTACCCTGTGTACAACAGAACAAACACGGCCCCAACCTGCGCCATCCTCACAACCTTTGTTATGCCTGAGCCCATTGTTGAAGCCACTGTGTCAATCCATCTCCTTGAGGGCCTTCCTCTTTTTCACTGACCCTCTACTTTACCAAGCATGATGTCCTTCTCCAGGGACTGGTCCCTCCTGATAACATGTCCAAAGTATGTGAGACGTAGTCTTGCCATCCTTGCTTCTGAGGAACATTCTGGCTGTACTTTTTCCAAGACAGATTTGTTCATTCTTCTGGCAATCCATGGTATACTCAGTATTCTTCACCAACATCATAATTCAAATACATCAATTCTTCTTTGGTCTTCCTTATTCACTGTCCAGCTTTTGCATGCATATGAGGTGATTGAAAATACCATGGTTTGGGTCAGGCACACCTTAGTTTTCAAAGTGACATCTTTGCTTTTTAACATTTTCAAGTAGATTTTGCCCAATGCAATACATATCGCTTGGTTTCTTGACTGCTGCTTCCATGGGTATTGATTATGGATTCAAGTAAAATGAAATCTTTGCAACTTCCATCTTTTACCCATTTATCATGATGGTGCTTATTGGTCCAGTTGTGAGGATTTTTGTTTTCTTTACATTGAGTTGTAATCCATACTGAAGGCTGTAGTCTCTGATCTAAATAATCAGTTTCCCTATTTCTGATAATAACTGACTGCCTATGAGGGCTCCTGGTCAGCACAACAAAAGTTTTTGTTTTGTTTTGTTCTTAACAACTGAGTTGCTTTAACCTTCACTTCAGCAACGTTATCAAGGGCAAATGCTCGATTACTCTGAAGCATTCAGAAATGCTGAAGATTAGTTTGGAGTCTCTGATTACCAAAGGTCTCAGAGTTACTTAAGAAGAGCTGAAACTAAAAATCGGTATCAAAATTTCTGGGCCAGGCATCGAGCAAGGTGCTAATATTGCAGAGATTAAAAAAAAAAAAGGGTGTCTCTCCTAGAACTAATTTGGAAGGAAAAGGCGCTTCACAGGCTGTTGGGAATGGTCCATCTAGTTTCCGGATGCTCTTGTGAGACCACAAAGGTCCTTCCAAAAGTGCTATCTCTGGTTGATGCTTTGGTTTTTATTTAGGCTCTTTTTGTTTGGTCCTTAAAGAGCCCTGGTAGCACAGTGGTTAAGCTCTTGACTACTAACTGAAAGGTCAGTGTTTTGAACCCATCAGCTGCTTAGCAGGTAGACTCAACAGCCAACACACTGCTTGGTCTTTGAAGATTCAGCTGTTTTCTTTTTTTGAATGAGGATCACTAATACCTAAAGCTAGTTCAGTGCAGCTTTTAGCCAAAGTAGATTAAAAAAAAGGTAATACATGATATAAATGCCAGTTATTATGCTTTAAGTGGCGAAAGTAAAAACAACTGTTTCTGAAGAAGAAAGAACGTCTAATTCAGCAGCGAATTAGCAAAGCTTTAAACCCTTCTGATGGAAGCACAAGAAGATTCTGACGTAGAATAAACAAATGTTTAAGTAAGTCAGGGTAACTGTGCTGAGTAAGAGAGTTTCATCATTGCTTGTTACTTACACAAGAGGGCACCAACGCTACCTTAAGTCAGGATACAGGAGGAAAATCTGCAAGCAATTAAAAAAAAAAAACCCAAAAAACTCGGCTGCCCTGGAGGGGACTCTGACTCATGGTGACCCCATGTGTGTCAGAGAAGAACTGTGCTCCAGTGGCTGATTTATTTTTTACTGTACTTTAGATGAAGGTTTACAGAATAGTTTCTCATTAATTAGTTAGTACACATATCATTTTATGACAATGGTTAACAACCCCACGACATGTCAACACTGTCCCTTCTCAACCTTGGGTTCCCTATTATCAGCTTTCCTGTCCCTGCCTGCCTTCTAGTCCTTGTCCCTGGACTGCTGTGTCCTCTTAGTCACGTTTTGTTTTATGGGGCTGTCTAATCTTTGGCTGAACGATGAACCTCAGGAATGACTTCATTACTGAGCTAAAAGGGTGTCCGGGGGCCGTACTCTCCCAGTGGTTGGTTTTTCTGAAGTAGATCGCCAGGCCTTCCAAGGTGCCTCTGGGTGGACTCAAACCTCCAAATTTTCAGTTAGCAAGTGAGCCTGTTAACTATGAGGACCACCCAGGACTCCAAGCTATAAATAGCCACCATTAAGTAGAAGGCCCACCTGTGCAGGCAGACGCTATCCTCTGGGACAGAAGTTAGAACCTTCTGCTCCAGCGGCAGCAAGTCCCTTAGAGTTGGTTCCCTGATAGTGAATGTTGTTTCTTGTCTTTGCTTGAACATTACCAAATCCAGCCCCTACTTAGCTTTGAAGACACAGCTCAGTGGTTCCCTTTTCCTATAATCCTCTCTCTCTTTCTTATCTCCCAGGAGACACCTCCTCTGTTTCCTTCAAGCCCAATGCTTAGCACCACCATTACATCTGTGCTACCTGATGCTAGTCAAATTTAACATCTTTGTCTTCCCCAAATAAACCCTGAACTGCATGACAGCAAGGACATCGTCACTCATTTTTATCACTTCTAGCACCAACCGAGCTCAAGGGAACCCTGGTAGCACAATGGTTAAGCTCTCGGCTACTAACCAAAAGGTTGGTTGTTAGAACCCACCCAGCTGCTCCATGGAGAAGGACCTGGCAATCTGTTCCCATAAAGATTACAGGCTAGGAACCCCTATGAGGCATTTCTACTTTGTCATGTGGGGTCACTGTAAGTTGAAAATCAATTTGATGGCACCTAACAACAGCAGCACCAAGCTGAGTGTATAGTCAATGCCCAGTGAGTGTTTGAAGAAACCTCTTCTGCTCTTTTTTTGCAGAGATAATGACTCTGACTGCCACTGGTAGGACTAAGATTTTTAATCAGGGGGTATGATGAAATGAAGAGAAAAAGAAAGCGGACAAAGAGAGAAAGATAAGAAATGCATAGTTTAGAGGCAAGGAGGCATTAGGACATCGGTCACCAACAACTGCTGTAAGTATGTATCCATCTGTCATGGATTGAACTGTGTCCCCCCAAAACATCTGTCAACTTGGCTAGGTCATGAGTCCCAGTATTGTATGATCGTGTACCATTTTGTAATATGATGTGATTTCCTTATGTGTTGTAAACTCTATCACTATGATGTAATAAGACGGATTAGCGGCAGTTATACCGATGAGGTCTACAAGATTAGATAGTGTCTTAAGCCAATCTCTTTTGAGATATGAAAGAGAAAAGTGAGCAGAGACACAGGGGAACCTCATACCACCAAGCAAGCAGTGCTGGGAGCAGAGCGCGTCCTTTGGACCCGAGGTTCCTGTGCTGAGATGCTCCTAAACCAAGGAAGACTGATGCATCACAAGGACCTTCCTCCAGAGCCAACGGAGAGAGAAAGCCTTCCCCTGGAGCTGACGCCTTGAATTTGGACTTATAACTAGACTGTGAGAGAACAAATTTCTCTTTGTTGAAGCTATCTACTTGTGGTATTTTTGTTATAGCAGCACTAGATGACTAAGACACTGTCCATCCAACCGTCCATCTGTCCATCCATTCATTTACTTATTCTTGGATGCCTACCATGTTCCATGTACTCTTTTAGGTAAGAAAACAAAAATGAACTCTGCCCTTGAAAAGCTAAGGGTTAGAGATAGAGGCCGACATAAATGACTTGCAAAAAATGTAAAGCACCAACTGTAACAAATACCTTCAAGTGGAAATGCTTCAAGGCTACAAGGGCAAATAATAGGGGAATCTGATCTGGTCATCGAGGTCAGGGATGGATGAGATCCTTGAGAAAGTGCTACTTGAACTAATAACTAAAAACGCTCACATTTGATGAACATTTACTAAGTAGCAGGCACTGTGCTAAATGCTTTACATGTATTATTTATAGCCTCCTAACAACCTTAATTGGGGCTCTGGTGGCATTTAAAGGGCTCGGATGCTAACCAAAAGGTCAGCAATTAGAATTCCCCAGCCATTCCTTGGAAATGCTATGGGGCAGTTCTACTGTGTCCTACAGGATTGCTATGAGTTGGAATCGATGGCAATGAGTTTGGTTTGGTAACAACCTTAATGCTATTACAGTTAATCTAACAGATATCACTATTACATCTCCATTTTACAGATGAGGAAACTGAGGCGCTGGGAGGTTAACTAACATGCCTAAGGTTACACAATGAGTGAATGGCAGAACTGAGATTCAAACTCAGGCACTATTCAGAGCCTATGCTTTTAATGATTATGCCACTGACGTGACGGTGTAAAAATGAGGAGCAGTAACAAGGGACAAGAGGAAGGGAAAGCCTTCCAGGCAGTGGGGACAGCTGTGGGGGGCCTGTGACAGCAGTGAGGATGGCAAGTACGAGGACTGAAAGGAAGCTGGGTAGCTGGAAAACAGCACCCGGCGAAGCTGGTGTGAGCTGAGGCTGCAGAAAGGTTGGTGAGGTCAGACCCGGCCAGGCCATGATGGCATTTGACATACTAGAAATGGCCCTCATGTTTGGTCCTTCCGTTCTCTGTAAGGAAGGACCTACTCTCTCCAGGGGATGGGCTCAGCAATCTTCTGGTCAAACTTTTTGATCTGCAAGGTCCTTCCGAGCTCTATCATGTAGTCAAGCACCTCTCAAGGTGGCAGTTCACCCGAGGAAGCAGTCTGGAAGGTTGTGGGAGTGTTTGTGGTTGCATGGGCAGAGGTCAGAGGTGCCACATGTCCTATAATGTGCGAAACAGTCCCACACCTCGAAGAACTGTCCTACTTCCTGCCTGACTCTGGATATTTTTATTGATGAAAAATCTGCTTATCATCAACTGAGCCTAGAAACGCAATCCTTTTTGCATATAAACAGACACACACACACACAATTTTTATTTTGCAGGCTTTTAATGTACACTAAATTCGCCAGAAATGCATCTACCATGCAAATCGAATGAAGCCTGTATTTTGTTTTGCTCAGAAATTCACCAAAAGTTACGCCTCGTTTCAGAACAATTGGCTCAGCAACAGCAGCACAGGTTGTGGTGTTGGTGTGACCAGTACAACACACCTGGATGGTCGGCTTTTTTTGTAGCTGGCAGTTCACAGTTAAGATTCCAAGGATAAAAAAAAAAAGAACCAAACTCATTGCCACTGAGTCGATTCTGACTCACACTACCCCTAGAGGACAGAGTAGAACTGCCCCAGAGGGTTTCCAAGGCTGTAATCTTTACGGAAGCAGACTGCCACATCTTCCTCCCATAGAGTGGCTGGTGAGTTCGAACCGCCAACCTTTTGATTAGCAGCTGAGCACTTAACCACTATACCACCGGGGCTCCTTATTCTAAGGATCCAAGGATTTACCTATTGAACTGCACATACACATCATTTTTCTTTGTATTACAGTCTGGACACTGTAATAATTTTTTAAAAACATTTGTGTATATGTACACAGGTTACATAATCTATGAATTTCATTTCAGGATAGTAAAGAGAATATTAGAAGTATTTGTTTTAAAAAGACGGAGTTGGGTCTGATAGGGTTGAAAAGCACTGCTCAAGCTAATCACTCTTTTTTCCCCAGAGTTTAGGCCATACTTGGAGGGAACTCATAAACATGTCCAAAAAACAACTGGTTGGTAGTTTTGCAAATGCTAGACTCAAAACACATATCTAAGTTTACAGATGCACCATGTGCCAATGGCAGAAATGAGAGGAACACAGTCTCTACAGACTCAATGGCTCCAACTATCATGTCTATACAGATGATGCTCAAATCCATGGCACAAATCCTCAAATCCCCTCCTGAATTTCTGTGCCATACTTTCAACTGCTTGTTGCCTATTTTCCCAATTGTTCTGAACATGAACTATATAGAACACCCTATTCCATCGGTGGGCTATGGTCTCCTCCCACCCCGAGCATTCTCTGTCCATCCGTCACTAGTTCCTCTAGTGGTTCTCAAATATTCATGTATGTAAGGACGGTGATGGGTGATGGAGGCGCATTTGGGGAGGACTTGTTTTCATGTAGATTCCTAGGCCTTGCCCTCAGGGTACAGGGATCTGCATTCTAAACATATGCCCAGGTAATTCTAATGCAGGCACACCAAGAATCAAGACGGAGAAACATATCCCAAAAGGCCAGGCTTCCCTCCAATTTTGTCTTTGGGTTCCTCCTCCCTAGTCTTTTTGGTTTCAACTTTTGTGGCTTTAGTTCTCCCTTCTATGAAAAAAGATTCTGAAATGTATCTTTCTAACTTTCCTCTGTCATTCTAGACCTACCTCTCCTCTTGAATGTTTCTATCTAGATCTCGCATTTATGAACTTACAGATTTAAACCACTGACACTAGACATTTCCTGTCTAATGGGAGAAGAGGTCCATGTAAACAAGGAATTATTACGTGGTGTGGAAAGAGCTATGATGAGGTGGTTATAAAGACAACCATATCAACAAAGCCGGGCAGCTACTTCTTGGAGATGGCAGAAGAGGTGGGGGAAGGTGAACAGAGAGGTTGATCTTGAATCTTAAAGGAAGAGAAAGGCAGCCCATGTAAGGGAGACAGTAGATACAAAAGCAGAAAGGGACAAGCAGTACAATCTTCGAGAGAGCAGACCTGTGGGCAAGGACGCTGGGGACGGGACACAGCAGGGAAAGAAGAGTCTGTATTCTGCTTTGCTGCCAGTACCATGGGGAGAAAAATCCCCAAGGGGTATAGTGAGCAGTGGCAGCATTAAAAGGGCAAGGAAGGGAGACAGAGTCCTGAGGCCTGCTAGGAAAGAAAAGAAATAACAGAGTCCACCGGGGCCCAGGCCCTTCTCCATGGAGGGGCCACTGGCCTTCCAGATGCCAGTTTGACCCTCAGTCTACAGTGTACTTCCATTCACAAACTGTAAAATCATACAGAATGTCTCCTGGGGGCCTGGGGCCACTCACCGCTGGTCTCATTTTTCACCCACACGTTGATTAAGTCACAGGCGGAGTCTGGATCCTCAAAGTTCACATTCTGGACTTGACATTGAAACACATCTTCGTTCTTCGTCACAAAAGGCACTTCCGTTTTAAAGCCATTCTCAACAAACATTGCGTTAGCCACGGTCACAATATCTTTATTCTTCTTGGAGACGATGGACTTGTTGATCTTCTTTAACAGTTTGCCAGCTCCTAAAGGGGAAATTAGAAAATGCAGCAACATGTCCACATGAATTTAGAAAAGCTTTTTTTCTTAAAGTCTTTCACAGAAAACAACAAACCAAACCCATTGCCACTGAGTCAATTATGACTCATGGCAACCCTATGTGTTACAGAATAACTGCTCCATAGGGTTTTTTCCTGGCTGTAATCTTTACGGAAGCAGATTGTCAGGCCTTTCTTCCAAGGTACCACTGGGTGGGTTCAAACACCCAACCTATAGGTTAGCAGTTGAGAGCAAACCATTTGCGCTACCCAGGGACCTTAAAGTCTTTTATATTATGGCAAATAGGAAGAGTATAAACAAGATAAATTTGAATAGGAAGAGACTAAGTCTTTTGCTTTCTCAGTGGCCTTATCTTAAAAAAAAAAAAAAATGGGGGGAGAGAGGTAAAATGAAGCATCTAAAATTATAAGTAGTTGTTAAAAATACTTTGCTAGTAAGGACAGAACCTTAAGGTATTTGCAACTAGCAACATTCAAGGCATTCTCAACATCTTCCCAATCTAGGCCTCATTCTCCCGGTGGTTCTTCTGGTCACTGGGTCAGTATGAAAGCTGATGTGCTCTTCAATCATATGTCACCCTGGAGCAATCAACCAATGGAACCTCTCAGTCCCTTCCCTCCTTGCCTCCCTCCCTCTCCAATCTTAAGCACTATTTCCTTTTCTGCCAAAGATTTAACAATGAAATTGCTTCTATCTTGGAAAAAAAAAATGAATAAAATAAGCATTAGAAAGACTATAAAAAAAACTGCCATGTGTCACAATCCAGAACAATGTGGTTTTACTTGATCAAAAAAGCGAGGAGATTAATTTTATGGCAACGTAAGCTTTATTTTACAAAGCTATTCACATATGCTCCATTTGGTTTTAGAGCATGGGGGAGAAAAAAGGGAAAATAAGCTGTAAAAATGAAATGTGTTTCTACAGAGCCTGAACTGCAGCTCCTTCCTAAGCTCTTGGGAGTCTTTGCAAAATAACACCGTCCCCAAACAGTCCTGCCAGAGTCACCCTGGCGGCCTCCTGAAGACCCTGCCTTTCACTCTAAACTGTGTACCCTCTTCAGAATCCCTGAACAAGGACAGGGAACGGCTTCCCATGACCCACAAGAGGTATAAAACCAAGACATCTGTTGCTGCTGTGTCGATTCCAACTCATGGAGACCCCATGTGTTACAGAGTAAAACTGAGCTCCATAGGGTTTTCTTGGCTATATATTTAAAATTTTATGTATTTTGTTGTTGTTGAGAATATACACAACAAAATATATACCAATTCAACCATTTCTACATGTACAATTCAGTGACATTTGATAACATTCTTTGAGTCGTGCAACCATTCTCACCGTCCTTTCCTGAGTTGTTCCTTCCCCATTAACATAAACTCACTGACTCCTAAGGTTCCTATCTTTCGAGTTGCTATTGTCAATTTGATCCCATATAGACCGATCTTGAAAGGGGACAATGTTCAAGGCAGACATTTTTTACCAGATTAGCTAAATTATTTTTTGGTTTTAAGAAGACTTCAGGGGATATTCTTGATTTAAGGTTTAAAGATCATCTCAGGTCAATAGTTTCAGGCGTTCATACAGCCTCCATGGCTCCAGAAAGTCTGGAATCCATGAGAATTTGAAATGCTGTCCTGCATTTCCCCCCTTTTTAGCTTTCTTCTACAGAATCTTTGATGGAAATGTTTGGTAATGGTATTGATTATAATCTTTACAGAAGCAGATCATCAGGACTTTCTCATGTGGTGTCGGCTGGGTGGGTTTGAACCAATAGCCTTTTGGTTACTGAGCACAAACCGTTTACACCAGCTGGAGACCTGGGGACGGTACAGGGCTTTGTAATTTACCCTTCACATCTGCTCTGGCGGGCAGGCACAGTGGGTGTCAACAGCCCCATTTTACATGGAAGGAAGGGAACTGTAGCTTTCAGAGGCTAAAAGACATTTCTGAATCAGGGTCATTTTAGCCACACTGCCACACCCATATGCCACAGAGTCTTGCACGAAACATCAGGGCACATCACCTTCCACTGACCCAAACTAGCCTCCCTCTTTCTTCAACAAGAGCATCCTACTGTGAGTTCTCAGAGGCTGAGCCCCAATCATGGCCTGAAAAACCACTTGGGCTCCTCTTGGCTGAGTCTGTCATGCCCGAGGTTACAGTCTACAATATGCTTGCTAGCTATTCTGGAGAAAGAAAGGGTGGTAGTGGTGGGGTTGGAGAGTTGCCAAAAGGCCGATAGCACCAAAACTTTAGAAATCTAACTTAAAATTAATGTGGCTCAGCATTAGAACAAACAGTAAAAATCAAGCTGCTATTTTGGAACTGCATTGGCTGATGGGCCCTGGATCACACTAGGAAAGGCCATAAATTTTAGCAGTTATAAATTACTAAGTGTTTTCTGAACTTCCAAGCAAGAAGCCGAACAGTGTGTTCCAAATATTTAGTCCTTCCATGCTTGCAACAGGTGAATAAACTGCAAACTCGTGCAAAAGTTTAATGTCACCTAGACAGGGCATGGCAGTTAGGCAGTGGGTTATGCTGAAAACACAAAGAGGTGGTGCATTTAAGCAGGGCTTCGATCGTATTCATTCAGGTTCAAACCTCTGCTGAGCATTTGCATTTCTAACAAGTTCCCAGGTCTATGCTAATACTGCTGGTTAGGGACCAATTCTGAGAAGCACTAGTAGAACAGTTCTCAAAATTTATTATATGTTAGAATCACCTGGGGATCTTGTTAAACTGTAGATTCTGATTCAGTATATCTGTGGTGGAAATGCAAATTCTCAGCAGTGGTTTGAACCAGAAAGAACAGCTCTAAGCCTTGCATTTAAGTATACACATTCCTACCTCTGTTCCTGCTAAACGCATCAGTGCAGCCATCACATCGATCTAAAGATTCTCTGAACTTCGTCTAGCAGAGGTGGAAGAATACAGGTAGGTAAAACTTCCTCTTTCTCCAAAAATGTAACTCAGGCCGAGAGGTACAAAGGATTTGCCTGGTGTGATGGTCAATGTTATGTGTCAGCTTGGCTAGGCTATGATTCTCAGTGGTTTGGCAGACACTGCACTGGTTACAGAAGCCCTGGTGGCACAGTGGTTAAGTACATGGCTGCTAACTGAAAGGTTGGTGGTTCAAACCCACAAACTGCTCCACAGGAGAAAGTGGTAGCCTGCTTCCATAAAGATTACAGCCTTGGAAACTCTATAGGGCACTTCTACTCTCCTATAGGGTTGCTATGAGTCAGAATAGACTTGATGGCAGTGGGTTTGGTTTGATTTTGGACTGGCTGCTCTTCTATAATCACGTTCCATGATGTAATCTGACACGACCAGCCAATCAATTGAAAGGGGAGTTTCCTTGAGGGTGTGGCCTGCCTCCAGAATATAGATGTTCTGGCAAAGCTCATTCTCTCTCTCGACCCTTCACTTTTCTCATCGCCTGACCTACAGTCGCTCTTCACATACATATACATATATACATACACACACACATACACACATCTCACTGGTTTTGAAGGAGCCCTGGTGGAACAGCAGTTAAGCGCTTGGCTGCTAACCAAAAGGTCAGTGGTTGAAACGCACCAGCCGCTCTACAAGAGAAAGATGTGGTAGTTTGCTTCCATAAAAATTTACAGCCTTGGAAACCCTATGGGGCAGCTGTACTCTGTCCTATAGGGTCGATATGAGTGGGAATCGTCTCGATGGCCACGGGTTTTACTGGCTTTGCTCCTTTAGAGAACACAGACTAAGACACCAGGGGTCAGTCACAGTGCACATCGGTGGCAAAGGAGGGCTCAGAGGCCGGTTTGTGCTCTCGGTCCCATACACTCTGTACTTGTGGGAAAGGCAGGTGAAAAATGACCCTGAGTAAGGAAAACTGAGCTAAAGCAAAACAACAGTGCTACTCCCAAAGGTTTTAAGTTCTAGCTAACTAAAAACAGGATTCCCTGTCAATAAAACTAAACCTTTTCCACTGGATCTTAGAATTTTTTTTTTAACTTTTTATTCTGAAATAATTATAGATTCACAGGAAGTTGCAAAAAAAAATCGACAGGGAGGTCCCAGGCACCTTTCACCCAGCCTTCCCCAACGGCAACATCTTATAATAAGTGTAAGGAGCCCTGGTGTGGCAGTAGTGAAGTGCTTGGCTACTAAACAAAAGGTTGTTGGTTTGAACCCATCAGCCGCTCCACAAGAGAAAGATGTTGCAGTCTGCATCTGTAAAGGTTTACAGCCTTGGAAACCCTGTGGGGCAGTTCTACTCCGTCCTATAGGGTCGCCATGAGTTGGAACTGACTCCACGGCAACAGATTTACAATACAATAACTGCAGAACCAGATCAAAAGCAGGAAAATGACACGAGTACAGCCCACAGAGCTTATTCAGATTAAACCAGTTCTACACCACTCTCTGCGGACGTGCGTGCGTGTGCGAGCGTGTATGTGTGCGTGTGTCCAAAACCAAAAAACCAAACCCATTTCCACTAAAGTCAATTCTGACTCATAGCAACCTTACAGGACAGGGTAGAACTACCCCATAGTGTTTCCAAAGCTGTAATCTTTACGGAAGCAGATCGTTACATCTTTTTCCCATGGAGCGGCTGGTGGGTTCAAACTGCTGACCTTTTAGTTAGCACCTGAGTGTTTAACTACTCTGCCACCAGGGCTCCTTGTGTGCATATGTAGCTCTATGTAACTTCATCACTTGTACAGATAGATGTAATCACCACCACAGTTAAGACAGAGAACTGTTCCATCCCCACAAGGGCTCCCTCATGTTGCCCTGGACGGCCACACTCACCAGCCTCCCCGGCTTACATATTTTAAAAGCACATTTGTGATGGCTAATTTTTTGGGTCAACTTGGCTATAGTTCCCAGTGGTTTTGCTGAACACTCAACTAGTTGCTGTTCCGTAATGTAAGCTAATGCAATGTACTGTAATCATCTTCTGTACCACAATCTAATGTAATGTAATCAACTAATCAGCTGGAAGGGGAGTTTCCTTAGGGTGTGGTCTCCCTTCAGACTATAAATAAATATTCTGGCAGAATTGGATCTCTTTCTCTCCCCTCGGTACTCTTCCAGCTGCTTAATCTATGGATCTTGGGACGCAAGCCTGCAGAAATTTCCAGCCTGCTGCCTGACCTATGGATTTTGGATTTGCCAGCCCCCACAAATGCATGAACCAGTCCCTAGAAGTAAATCTCTCTCTCTATATATATATGTCTCACTGGCTGTTTCTCTAGAGAACCCTAAGACAATGTTCACAACCACAATGCATTTTTAGCTAGTATCACCATGAAGGTAGGTCAGATAGAAAGTATTTTCTTTGGATAGACACAAAAACGGAAACTTTGAGAGATCAAGCAACTGACCCAAAGATGGACAGCTATACCACAGAGACCAGAATGCAGTTCTCACTTCTACCACCTCAACGTCTGTCCTAATTTATAACAGGCTGGCCCTAAACCCCAGCTGGCATCAGTAAACCCCTCCTGGCTTCTTGGGTCGGATTCTAAGACCAAGTGGTGAGCCCTGCTATGCCGGCCTCCTGGTGAAGGCCTCCAAGCCAGTGATGAAGGACACACGTACTCTTCACGCTATATCGCATCACCGCGGTGAGCTGCTTCTTCGTCTTGCCGTCGGCCCCCAGTTGAAGCATCCCAAGGATCGATGCAATCCCATGGGGGGAAACGACGACGTTTTCATGAGGTCGGGACTTGACGATCTGATTGAAAACCTGGATTCCCAAGTTGGAGCCGAGCTCCTCGAGAAACAGCGGACTGAGTTCAGAGTAGACTGGGGGCAAAGTCACTGTGGCCAAGAGGAAGAGCGGAAAATGGCAACTCATGGTTCCTTCCAGCAAGGACAACCTGCAAAACTAGATTAAAAAAAAATTAATTATACTTTATCGAAGTTTTCTGGGGACTACTTTGTACTCAACTAGGTATAATTTAAGGAGCCCTGGTGGCACAGTGGTTAAGTGCTCAGCTGCTAACCAAAAGGTCAGTGGTTTGAACCTGCCAGCTGCTCCATGGGAGAAACATGTGGCAGTCTGCTTCCGTAAAGATTTACAGCCTTGGAAACCCAATGAAGCAGTTATACTCTGTCCTATAGGGTTGCTATGAATCAGAATCAACTTGACGGCAATGGGTTTGGTTTTGGAGGCATGATTTACTGTACTCAGGGAAATTTAAAGGTGTATTTATAAATACATTTAAGATGTTGTTGGTTGCTGTCGAGTTGATTTTGACTCATGGCAACCCTATACGCGCAGAGTAGAGCTGCTCCATAGGATTTTCAAGGCTGTGACCTTTCAGAAACAAGTTGCCAGGCCTGTCGTCCGAGGTGCCTCTGGGTGGGTTTGAACTAGTAACCTTTCGGCTAGTAGTTGAGCACCTAACCATTTGCACCACTCAGGGACTCCAGGGGCATGATCATTTAGTGATGTAACTGCATGAAGGGCATTATGGATTGAACTGTATCCCCCCTAAAAGATACGTTGACATCCTAACCCCTGAACCAATGAATATGACCTTATTTGGGGCAAAACAGAATTTTTCTTTTCAGATGTTTTCAGCACAGTTAATGAAGTCATACCAGAGTAGGATGGGTCCTAATCCTAATACATTCTGAGTGATGTCTTATAAAAGAGGACAGAAGCAGAAACGGGGAAAGGCATAGGGGGAAGACAGCATGTGACAATTCCTTTACAACCCAAGGAACACCAAGGATTGCTGGCAGAAACCAGAAGCCAGGAGAGAGGCACAGGACAGTTCTTCCTCTCAAAGCTCTCAGAAGGAATCCACATAGCTGATACCCTGATTTGGACTTCTAAACTCTAGAACTGTGAGAAAATAGGTTTCTGTTATTGAAAGCCGCCCCCTTTATGATATTTTGTTATGGCAGCCCTAGGAAGCTACGATGCCAGGGGCTGCGGGTGGGGGCAACAACAGGCTGCATAGTCAGGGAAGCCACCTCTGAGGAAGGAGCATCTACGATTGGACCTGGTGGCTGACAAAGGACCGGGCATGCCCACAGAGGCCATGAGGTAGGGATAAACCGCAGAGGCCAAGGTGGCTGTAAAGCAAAGTGAGTGGAAGAGAGAGGTGGGAGAGGAAGGAGAAGAAGAGGGTAGGCCACAAAGGGCCTGTGGAGCGTGGTAAGGTATTTGGATATCAATGTAAGGCTCATGAGAAACCACGGGAGGGCTTTCAAGAAATGAGTGAACCCATTGGGTTGGTATGATTACCTTATACCTGTATGCGTATGGAGAGCCCTGGTGGTACAGTGGTTAAAAGCTTGGCTGCTAACCAAAAGGTCGGCAGTTCAAATCCACCAGCTGCTCTTTGGAAACCCTATCGGGCAGTTCTACTCTGTCCTATAGGGTCGCTATGAATCGGAATCGACTAGACGGCAACCGGTTGTTTTTTTTGGTCACTACTAATACTATTTGATATCCTGGTATATCTCAAAACATTTCTGTCACCTACCAAAACCAAAAACCAAACCTGCTGCTGATGAGTCGATTCAGACTCAGTGACCCTCTAAGACAGAGTAGAACTGCCCCATAGGGTTTCCACGGAGTGGCCGGTGGATTCAAACTGCCAACATTTTGTTTAGCAGCTGAGCTCTTAACCACTGCTTTTTTAATTTAAAAACTGTCAATTAAACTAAATTTAAGCAAAAGCCTTAAATCTACAATAGGGAAAAGCAACTGGTAAATGCACAAATTGTTGAGGATGGCATTGTTTACACTGATATTCTCAATTACAAAGATTTGTTTTAAATCAGCCTTCTTCTTTGATTACCACTTAACTGAGCTTTCTGTGGGTATGACAAGATGTAGGAAACTTACATGTATTCATGGAAAAGCAAATACTTTCGTTAAGTATGAACTTAAAAGCAGCAGCTGGTAAAACAAAAATAGAATTCATGATGTTAATCTGGTTTCCTCCCTTATAGACCCAAGCGAGCTCCTGCTAAGCACAGGTTTCCCATGGAGCCAACTTGTCCTCTTGACACATGTTTACATGTGGTGCCCGGGGTGTTTGCGGAGAATAAGGAGGAGGGGAACCTTTAAAGAGACAGCTGACCTGGGTAGAGGGGTTAGTGTCTATGTGCGCTCCAGGGAAAAGAAAGGGCACAGGGACAACACTAGGCAAAACCGGGATTTGGTGATGCCCTGCCTTCCTATGTATTTTTTTTTTTACTTCCCACCTTAGGTCATGGTTGGTTGGCTGGTGGTTGCTGAGCTGATTTTGACTCATGGCAACCCATATGTTATAGAACAGAACTGCTGCATAGGGTTTTCTTGGCTGTAATCCCTGGTGGCACAGTGGTTAAGAGCTACAGCTGCTAACCAAAAAGCTGACAGTTCGAAACCACCAGCTGCTCCATGGAAACCCTATGGGGCAGTTCTACTTTGTCCTATGGAGTTGCTATGAGCCAGAATCGATGGCAATGGGTTTGGTTTGGCTTTTTGGTAATCTTAATGGAAGCAGATTGTGAGGCCTTTTCTTCCACGGTATCGCTGGGTAGGTTTGAACTGCCAACCTTTAGGTTGAGCCACATAGGGACCTATTAGGTCATAGTAGATGTTCGATAAATGCTTGGGGAATTAAACCTGGTGGCTTAACAGTAGGAGCCCTGGTGGCACACCAGTTAAGTGCTTGGCTGCTACTTGAAAGGTCAGTAGTTCGAATCCACCAGTTGCTCTGTGGAAGAAAGATGTGGCAGTGCTTCCATAAAGATTTACAGCCTTGGAAACCCTATGGGGCTGTTCTACTCTGTCCTAGAGGGTCGCTATGATTCGGAATCAACTCAATGGCAGTGAGTTCAGGTCAGGCTTAGGAGTATTTTCTATTTTTATTAATTATTTTTAACTGCATCGAAATAGTGTTACTGAGTATGACTAAGAAAATGACTGTATTTAGTCCTGAGGCTCACTGTTAGCTCAACATACTCTCCAAGGACAGTGAATGCGTTGGGCTGAGAAAAGGATTGTTAGCACAAGCCTTTAACTGCATGGCTCACACACACAAATGCTGCCACAAGGTGAACCGGCAAGGCCGTCATTCAAACTGATGGTCTAATTTTCTTTTATATCAAGAAGCACATTTAAAAAAAATTGGAACATTCAGGGTTTCTTCAGAACTTAATCGTAAAATCATTATGTAAACTCAGCCTGTCTAAATTCAAGCCATGTAAGTGAACTACATACACTCCTTCTTGGGGCGTTACCAGCATGGCCTATTTTGACTTTGGCACCAGGACTGGCTCTAACACTAAGAGTATCCCCCCGAGTTTCACTGAGTCTGTTGGATATTGGAGAGCTTCCAAATCCTGACTATGGAAGCTTTATTAATTTCATCTAAAAAGCAGGAATTATGTCCTTCCTTCTTCCTGCCCTTTCTTTCAGAAAATTCCTCTTTAAAACTGAATATACCACAAAGTCTTCATAAGTATAAAACAATTTGTATAATCTATGTTACAAATGGTCAAAATCTAGTAGTTAGCACCAACTTCATTAATCTGAATTCTTAACTCTTTCATTATAGTCTATTCTGGCATCTACTTGCAGCACGCCATAATCTATGTACTTCCCCAGCCTGCTGAAGAAATCCTCCTGGATTAGCAAATATCTGAACAAACATTTGAATTTGCACACTCACAAGGCATGACGGGTATCAAACTGGTTTTGACTTTGATGTCTTCAGGGTGATTCACCCAAATACTACAGATATATGTAGAACATTGTAAAACACGTAGAAAGGATCAGTAGCAGCAAGAAATTTAACAGCTCCAATGTCTTGGAATCAGCAAGGACAGACTCATAAATAAATAGCCACCTTGTCTAGCAGAATCTTGCTTGGTTATGAATTTCTGCTAAAACAACAGTTTCATTAAGAAGCAGGGGGAAGGCTGTCATGGGTGTTTTTCTTGGTTTAATGGACTTAGGAAGTTTTTTAAAAAATAGGTCTATCTGCAGTTTATAACAGGGCATTGGGATATTGTCAGAGTTGTACAGAACTTGGAATCAGAGATGTTTTTGACTGATGTTCTGGGCATAACTTCTTGGCCTCAGTTTTCTAGGCCATAATGACCACTGGTCAAAACCCACCTGGGCTTATGTAAATGTCTGAGACTAAGCTTTCACTTCTCTCCAAACTAGCCATAAGAGTGGGTGCTGACCCATATATTATTTTAGGCTTATGGAATTCTTAATATTGACTTGTACTTGTGCCCATATAGATAATCTTTAATGTGAAATACTTGTTGGAGTTATCAGCCTTTGAAATATTTTAATCTCCAGAACAAGCAGATTCTCATTATGGGAAGAACACTGTAATCCCCTTTGTTTTTAAGAGAAATAACACTTCCTACTCTCAAATAAGGTAGAAGGAGTAAAGGTGTTGTCCAAATGTATTGGGTGGCATCAATATGGAGGATCATAAATCTGTTTAAAATATTTCCATTTCTCGAATAATGTTTTCACAACAGTTAAAAAATGTCTCTAGTTTAGGCCATACTTGGAGGGAAATCATAACATGTCACAAAAGCCATCGCCACAGGCATTTCCTTCCAAATGTTGGCTTTCTCTTTTCTCATGTACTTCTAGTTTCTCTTATTTCAAATCCTTCCACTTTTTCAGCGTGGGGAACGTTCCTGTAAGTAATTAGGTACTGCTTTGAGCTTTAAGTGAGACTGCATGTAGTAAACAACAGGTTGGTAGGTTGGCAAATGCCAGACTCAAAATGTGTCTCTACATTCACAGATGCACCACGTGCCAATGGCAGAAATGAGAGAACACAGTCTCTACAGACTCAGTGGCTCCAACCATCACTTCTACACAGATGATGCTCAAATCCATGGCACAAA